AATTACAGATATGATGTTATTTATTATATATAGATACAGCTCACTTATTCCTAATATGTAATAATGCTTACTATTGTTACTGCATAGTATTGGAAATTATTAATAGTAGTAGGATGTATTAAATATTAATGCTGTATTTCCTCACGTATTTTTTCACTCTAGCAATTTAGAGGTAGATTCTGAAAATTTTAAAATTATTTTTATAATTTTCTGTTTTCTGTATGGTACTTAGGATTTCCCTCCGAGGTCTAGATCATTGGTACACTGTACTCTCTTGATTATTTTATTTTTTGTTTGGTATATTCAATTTGCATTTGCATTGTATAAGCATTTTATCATGTTTGTATTTCATTTATTATTTGAAACGAACTTTCTACAGATTCTTCTTTAAGCTACCTGGACGTGGCAGATGTTCTCACACTTAAAAAAAGAAAAACTTTCCAAAGATGTGACACACAAAGCTTACTTTTTATTATTTAAGTTCCAGATCGTTGTTTCCTTATCTACTGCTGATGCGCTCGAAATTTTTATTCGATCAGATTCTTTCGAAATCCGGATCTTGTGTTAGTCTCTCTTCTCATTCATTCCGATCTATCTCTTGGCAACTGCGCTCAAGACTCATTCATGTGAGGTGCCCCTGACACTTTACAGCGTAATTGAGCTGTTAGATATCGGCTCAATACCCATCATATATTCTAATGTTAATATTACTGTGTACGCTTATTAGAATGTAGGATTCTTTTTAAGAAATAATATTGTTATTGTTACCAGTATTCCATGGATATTTTTTATTTGTTTTGTGTTATGTTGTTACTGTAACGACGTTCTTCGGAAATTAAATTATTCGCATAATTCTTCCCTCTCGATATTCGGACGATAAAAGCAGTTATAAAAAGGAAAAAAAAAGGAGAAATTACTGTTAATGTTCTCAAACACCCCTGTTTCCTTAAAAAGAAATTTTCCGAAGACTATCTTTCTGCTCATTCAAGACTTTCTGTATTGTGATACTAGAGGTCTTACAAGCAATAAAAACCTGATTTCACTTCATTTGTATTTCATCATGCTTGCATTTTCGATTTCTGTTGTTAGTAATTTTTCAATTTTGAATTTAGGTGAAGCTAGCTCGCTCTCTTGGGGTTGCGCGGATTCTCAGGTTATGAGTTCGAATCCATCTGAGCTATTTTCTGATTTTTTTCCCTCTGAAATCAAATATTTTAATGTTTCTGTAAATAAAACAATGCTGTTAATATAAAAATTATTAAAATTTTTACATGTAACGTATAATACTTTTACGCTATTTTATTATTATTCGAGAATTACAGTTTTATATTAATTATATAATTATTGGATTTTTACGTTATTTATAAAGTTTAAAATTTCCTTTTCCTCTTTCATGTGTTGAAAATGTATTCTTCATTATAAATCTAGTTTTCAGCAATGTACGTATAATTTTATACTACATATGACATAAGGTGTTACCTGAAACCCAACAAAGTTGAAGTTTGATATTTCGTTGGATGCTATTTATTATGTCCTTTAAGGAAGGAATGATGAATAATTTTGGTTTAAATTCCTGAAGGACATTGAATATACTTTGGTTCTTAGATAAAAAATCATGCTTTCTTTTATACTTCTCCGAGGATTTTTGAGACATTGGTAATTTCCACTCAGCATTTTTTAACAGACTTCAGACATGTTTCTGTTCTGATTTTTTTAAGGTCAGAAACACATTTCATTACCGAAATATTAGCACCGCGTATTTAACTTTTGGCCTCATTTTCTATTCATTTACATGTAGTTATTCAATTAATAAATTTCATTAGCTATCCTTTGCTAGACATTTTCTGTCTCGCGCACAATAATATTTAAAATCTATTGGCTTAATTAGTATTTGGCAAAAGATAAGTTCCATAAGAACATAAGAACATTCCATAAGATTACATGTTCCATAATAAAAATGGTCAAAATATTTTTATTTGACCATTAATATTGTCTCTTTCCACGACTGGAATATATAATGCTTTGTTCACGTGATCTATTTTTTTAAGGCAAAATACCAGTTAAGAAATCTTCTTTGATAATACTGAATAATTTTTGCTCCAGTTTTGAAATACCGGCTTATTAAAGATTTAACAATGCCGTAAAAATCCTTTGAAAAGATATTCTGTGAAGTAAAATTAATCGGATTTTACTTCAGATTTTAAAACTATTTTTCAAGTTCTCAACTTTCATCTAATAAATCAATGTGTTAGGTACTGGAGGTTTTCTTCACAAAGAAAAATTTTTAATTTAGTGAGCAATCGATAATGACTCTTTGCGCTATCAGCGATAAAAAATGGGAAAATGAATCTTGTTCGAAATATAACAACTTGAAACAAACTTCTTGTTAACCTAAATATTTAATGGAAACTCAAATTCCACAAATACATTTTCAAAACATATAAAACAGGGTGTTGCCGAATTCGACCGACAAATGCAAAGATATCACAAGGACGAAATCAAGAGGATGAAACCATATAAAACAGGGTGTGGCCGAGTTCGACCAACAAATGCAAAGAGATCAAGAGGATGAAAAATTACCACAGAACATGGGGGCACAAACCACATTTAGTGACACAAAAATAGAAATCGGAGAACAAAGAGCGTCAGAAAGAGAGTAGCCGAAACAAATGCGAGGACTAGGAACACTGAGGTCAATAAGAAACCTTTTCGCATGCAAATTTCCAATGCTTATGGAGCAGACAGAAGCAGCGGCTGAGAAAAGAAACGAAAATATGCAAACATATGTCTCATATGCAAATTTTTTATGCATATACGAAAATTAAAAGCAGCGAGCGAGTATTCATTGCTGGGCATTGCAGAATTCGCGGGTGTTGCACTTTAATTAGAAACAACATGCAAATTACACGAAAGAGGAATATGTGGATATGCAACTATCCATAGCAACCGGTCGAGCCGGTGGCTATGGGTATCTAGCAGAGGAAATATACCACAATAATATCCGAAGAGGCATTGTCTTCACCATACCATTACGGCGAACATCGATCGACGGCCGTGGTAGACAGATCCTTCCAAATAACGAGGCGTAACGCAAGGAAAGAACGCAGTGTGCGCACACCTGAAACAGAAAATCCGATATTGCAACAGCTTGCCGTTTCCATGTCGACCAATATACAATAGGTTGCAGCTGAACTGGGAATTTGTAATAAAATGGTGGGGAAGGTTCTGTGTTCAAAAAACATGCTCCTCTTCCAGGTGCAGAAGGTCCAATTCTTAGGCGATGCCTACTACTTCCTTCGGGTAGATTTCGTATGTTGGATTCTTGATACCAGACAGAATGCCTAACAGTTTCCCGCTGCTCTTCCATTCTCAGATGAAGCTTGCTTTACGAGAGAAGGCATGGTCAACACGCATCATGCGAATATGTAATCATTCGAAAATCTGCACAGCACTGTCTGGTTGGATTCCTCATTAACATCTCGGCAGGAATTATCAGAGATCATCTGCTAGGACCGTTTCGTTTGCCCGAACTCCTCAATATATCGCGCAATTTACCTTGTTTTCCTATAGTACCTTCTCCCGAATTGGATGCAGGTTTCACGAATTTTCTACGTAGATAGATAATTTCAGTGGAATTAAATGTGAAGTAGTTGTATTTTTATATATAATATAACTTGAAAAGCTAGAGACGATACTCTGCCAAAAAATAAGAATACAGAGGTAAGTCTATTTAACGGAGTAAATGGCTGTCTCGCTAATTTGGCGAGATATCGTGAAGCTGACAATGGTTTTCGGGACTAATTTTAATCGCTAAATTTGGCAAAAAATTTCCAGTGGCCAAATTTGGCGCCAATTTGGTGACCATTTGGTAATACTTTGCTCCGGTAACTGTATATATTTGCAATGGATATTGTAATTGAATAACTATAATTGATGCCCGGTGTAACTAACCGTATTCGGCCCTTTCAATAATTTCGAGAAACAAAAAGTACTAGTAATATCTCGGTGGCCGGGCGAAAACTATGTAAGACCGGAGAGAGCATCACTTTTGAGTTGTTAGTTAAGCAGGAGTTAGGAGTACTGAGGTATCTCCCTGTCAGCTTCGCACTTTCAAATGCGCTTTGCATTGCTATATGTTTAACGTTTTTCGTAGTTTCAAGAATAACTACTTATTGTACTATATTGGTAGTGTGAAGAGTTGTACGACTATTTTTGTGGAAAGTTCCAGAACTGTGAAGCGTTTATTTTAATAAAATTAATCTTATCAACTTATCATCGGATCTTTGTGCATTCAATTTATTACGAAACCGTAGATATGGTGCGAGGATGCACGTGGCTCATGCAAGATGGTATGCCAGCAGATTTTTCGATTGCGGTGGTAACCATCTCGATGTTACATATCCCGAGAGGTGGATTGGATGCGGCTGGTCCTTGGCTTCCACGTTCCCCAGATTTCAGGATTTCTCCTTCTGGAAACACCCAAATCGGTTGCATATCAAACGCCTGTGGATTAACTGGAGAATATGACAGCACGGATTGTCTTCGCTCACACAGGGTATGTTTGAATGTTCAGCAGTCTTTCTTCTGTCGGTGTCGGTTGTACAATGACCTTCGCGGCCACAACTGCAAACAATTCTTATAAAACTGTTTCGTCGTTTCCTTTATGACCTTGGGCTGTATGCACTGTAATCCTGCTTTATGTCAAATAAATATGTCTTTGAACTTATTACTTACACCTTTTTTTTAATTCGACGTCATACCTTTCTTAACTATTTTTGCAATTTTTTCCCACTAAAAGAGGCTTGAGACCCTATTTCATTCTCTTGATGCTTACTATCACCCCTCTCAATCTGTCGGTCGAATTCGGAAACAACTGTATATCCTTCTGATAAATTTCAAAGATCATATCCGTAAAAATGAAAGAATTATTTTAATTTTAGTACATTTAGTTACTTTAAACAAATAACGTTTTATTGAAAAGCACATAAATCATTACTTACAGGCTTTGATGGCTTTTCTGTAAGAGTATATCTATACACTGGTGATCGAGATAAGCTGGAGAGTTGTCTTGCCAATGTGTTAACTGGACATGACTGTCTGATATCGGATACCATAGTAGTATACAAATATTCTGCTGTATAGTTTGGATCTAGGAAAAAAACAAAATTAAAAGTTAAATTTCTGGCACACTATTTGCAGTGGAATTTACTGCAATCTGAAATTAATTGGTATATTCGACCGAAACATGTATTTAACCATAGAAATGTGGAATTCTAATATTTATTAATCACTTTAATTTTCTGTCAGCTTAGAACATATATCAGTATTACACGTTAAAGAAAGTCATGCCGCAGTTACAATGGTGAAAAATTAAGATTATTATTATTATTATTTTTTTTTTTTTTTTTTTTTTTGGAATACAGGAATAATATTTGAAGAATACGCATTCCTTCGTATGCGATGTTAAATGCTATGTAACAAAAAAGTATCTGAAAGTGTATATTTGTTAATAGCACAGAAGATGAACCAAATGATAACATTAATTTTGGAAGGAAGTAAGATAAACCGATAATGATATTTCACATAATTAAATTCATGATTTAGTTTACAATGAACATTTTTAATGCCCCATTTGATAAAATACTAAGTTTTATTTCATTTTATTTATTTCTTCTCTCGAGCTTGATAATTTTATATTTAAAATGAGAATTTATATGTGTATATAATAATATCTACAATTACCAACTCACTCTTCAAAGCGAATTCACATTAGACTAGGGGGATAACAAAATTTCCGCTACCTGTACTCTTGTTCAGTGATAAACAGAAAATACTTTTCGGGATTATTTTTAACGGAGAATCAATCTGTATCTTTACTGCCAAGTCAGCAGTATGTAAATATATGTTTATGTTCCACAGAATGACCTATTTTCTATATAAGCGGGATTCAACTACGGGCCCGTAACTACGGTACTTGTCTCAGAGTTCTTATTTCTTTCTGTGGCTTTTTGCTAAGCAAGGACTGACATTTTACATAAAATACCTATACCAATATACCTTTCTTTCATCTATACTTTACAAATTAATTAATTTCTAGAAAGTTAATTCTAGGAAGCTTTATCATGCTGATTCTATAAAAGCCTATCGTAAGAAACATCATCTTTCAGAAATCTTGATGCTTTCATGTTAGTAATGTCAACTAAAAAAGATGTGAAATTGCTCGGCCCGATAACTATTATTTGCACTTAGTCTAGTAGTGCCCGAGCAGTGGTAAAACCGCTAAACACTTGTAATTCTATCCGGGTCTAAGCAAGCAAACAGCTAGGCAAACAAGCTGGCTGCTTTCTTTCCATATTTTTTACATGCTACAAAGATCTTATTTTATTCTAACCAATTATTTTTAGTTTGTAATACTTTCCTTTCTCTTCTGATTTCAGTTTCCTTCCAGAAAAAAAATTTAGTTACGTAGTAAAAACAATTTTACATACATTTTTTTTTCTTTTTTACATACGAGTAAAAAGTAACAAATATGAAAAAATAAACTTATTCTCATTATCCTTCGTACATTTTGACCGCGCAAAGCTTGTAAATCGAAGTCAGTCCCATTTGTTTTTTAAACTGAGCAATAACGACATACAGAATACATAATTCTCAGAAACCTAGTTAAAATTTGTCCTACTTTAAGAAAGAAAAAACACTGATTAGGAAAATGAATTAGTTAAGAATAGCATGTGAAAAAGACTTAGTTATTTTTAAAACGGAATGGCTTTAGATCCATTTTGCATCAAATTGACGGATTCAGGACAGAGTTAAAGTGTATTTATAAGGCTTTCGACAGTTTTTCAACAACTGATTTGAAGAAGGATTCTTTCTACATTTTCACTATAAAATGTACGACAAATATTTAATTCTTTAGAAGCGACAACCCATATTACAAAGAAACACGTTCTAGTAAAACTGCAGGCATGGCATTTCATATAGTTATTGGCAATGTCTTTTCCATTTCATTTAAGAATTATGATAGGGCTTAACCAAAACATTTCTTCACTGATATTTTTTTAAGTGTTTTTTCATCTAAAGGTCGAAAACTACCTAGTTATATTTTCATTCTAAACGGCCAAAATGATACGTTATTTTAGCACCAAAAATTTTATTCACAGTCCACACAGGGAAGATTGATAAATTTTGTGGAGAATGAAATGTAGGATTCGAATTTAAACTCTTCTGAGACTTCAGCGATAAATTTTAACGCCTGTAATCTTTCCTCGGAAACATCTAGCTACATATTTACGGAAAATATTTATTGGACTGAGGTAAAACTGAGAACTACCTTATTTAACAGTTTCGAATTCTTGATGGCAGTATTTATTAATGATGCAATATTAAAATTAGCTTTCATACATCAAGATGACAATGCGGTTTGTGAACGAAGACAGAAATGATTCTTCTGGTGACTAAAAGAGGTCTATAAAAATGAAAGAAAAGGCAAGGCTGTTTTGGTTGCAACCAGCATGAAAAGTAAACATTTTATTCGGTAAATTTAGTTCGAAAATTAAATGAAAAAATATTTTGAATAGAAATGTATTAAAAGTTTAAAAAATGTGGGATTATATTGTCGACAAAGCTTACATATATGTCAGAATAAAGGAACTAACTCAAGCTTTAATTTCTAGCAAGAACTTACACTGGTCCAAATGCCAGATTTTGATAAATATCTGGCAAGTAGCCGAAAATACTTCACGAAATCTCCTAAAAATGTCTGTTCTCTTTTATACTACCTGTTCTGTTCTGTGCTTAAACAATTAAGAAAGTACAATAGCATGAAAAAATATATTGATCATATATTTTTTATTGAAATCGGTTCACTTCTCTTACTCCTCATATCAACACCTTGAAATGTATGTGTGTAAGTACCAGTAACTGAACATTTTTGTAATATGTGTATGTAAATATATACTATTAATTTCCATTAATCAATATTAAATTTGATATTAAATGTGTCTTCTGATTTTGAAAGTTCAAAAATAGTAACGTTTATGCCAGTTTCATAAAACATAAAGTCACAGTTTCCAATTTTCTATTAATATTTATTAATATTTCACATTGAATTTTTAATATTTGATTCCAAGAAGCATAAACTTTCCGTAGTTCTAATTGTCATTTAGTGTCTGATAAAATACGAAACGTGAACATAATTACAGAACTTTTGTAGATTTGGCGCAAATATCTTTCTATAACTGTTAACACCTGATATAAATATATTCAAGCAGTGCTTCATATAAAATAGTGACATGTGAAAAACATTAATTTTTTTCCAACCTTTATCCACTAAAGCTACAATTATAGTCAATATTATTAAATGGTAGGTTTACTGTTGATACCAAACAAACTTAGTTTTACTTTAAAAAATATTTTAATTATAATAACACATACTTATAGACTGTGCTGCAGTTCCATTGTAAATTCGAAGTGCCATTTGACTGACTTGTAATCCAAAACTGTCAAGACTAGTTGTAACATATTTTTTGTACTGATTCCATGTCCATGTCGATAAGTCATCAGGACCAGGCCAGAAATCAACTGCTTGAGCTGCAGACCCTGAAAATATACCATTTTAAACCTCTTTCTCCAAATTAATAATTATATAGTCCAATTTAGAGGTTCTTTATTTAATGATGTATTGTATTTAATTTTATTTTCATTTCCTCCGGCTTGAATATATCAGCTTAGTTCAAACTACCCCAGATTATACGATGAGTTTCTTTAATTTAGAGATGCTGATTTATAAAACTAATATTTCCTAAAGCTACACACAGTTCAAACAATGCTTAAAAGGGACATTTTATTCCAATTTGCTACTTTAAGACTTTTCTTTATAGAAAAAGAAGTTTATTTCATTTTGGAAACGAAGAATAAAATAGTAATAATAATAATAATAGGAATAATATACTAAAGATAGAAAATTATCTTAGTGTTTTATTATCCAAACCTTAGTTACCGGAAATACCTGAAACGTCATTTTACAAATTAATCTTTCAAGCAAATTACAGCTAAATTCAGCCGCCCAACCGGCATAGTGGTTAGCGACGCTAACTACTGTACCGGAAAGCCTGGGTTCGAATCCGGGAGAAGGCATGGATGTTTGTAAATATTCAATAAATATTTGTAAATATGTGCCTGTGCTGCATGGGGGTATTTTAAATATGCGGGGATCCGAAAGTCCTCTTCAGAGGTTAGCGGTAGGGAAAGAAGGGTGTGAGACACTCCGATCCTTCCACCCGGGGTGCTCTCCAATAAAAAAGGGGGGCGGAACTGAGCAAAGTCGAATTCTCATCTGAATGGTACACAAGGCACTTGCCGACGACAGGCACTGTCTTTCACTTCTTGTCACGATGAATTTCGTGAGCTTGTTCTGATATTACTATCAGATAAGTGAGATAAGTCACAACAATTAATTCATGAGTAAAATTCCATGCCTTAAATTTCAGTGACTTCAGACTTAAACCATTTACCACTGCAATCCTTTTTAAATGAAGACATTAAACATAAATTTAATGTTCCAAAGAGATTTGGAGATTTTTCGCAGTTCAAATGCTATTAATAGATCGACAACAAAGAATCCAATTTCTTCTCCCAAACCAAAAATTAGACATGTGCAGGTAGAAAGTACTAAGATGAAAATTGCGGAGTTAGTTTTAATACGATGTTACTTACTCCAAACGAAGCAGATTACGTAAGTGTGATTCCTAACATGAAATTCACGAGTCTCATATTGAAGAAATTTATTAACAATAGAGAGCGGGTGCTAAAAATCATTCGACACCGGAAGCGGGAAAAGTGGGTAAAACATAAAATCTTTTCTAGGAAACCGAATAACTCGATAACGTGTAAAAACGTATTTTGTACTGGAACATTCGATATTATTGATACTGAGATAGCTGATGCTGCTTTAATATGTAATAAATAGTCTTTATAAATAATAAATAATCTTAATAAATAATAAATAACCTGCTTTCAAATAAAGCAGCTTTTAAAGCTATTAAAATGAATACATTATTGTGAGTGTGTGTGAATACAAATTAAAATAAGTCGTTAAACGTAAGCTGAAAACAACCATTTTGCTTCAAATGGAGTTCAAAGGGGTAAAAAAATGAAATTTTCGTTAATCCCTTTAAAAACCGCTAAATCGGGATCTGACAGCAAAACTTTAAATGATAAATGAATCAATATAATTATGTGACAAAAACTCACACTTGCAGATTATACAAATAGACAAAACACAGAAAAGTAGGTAAAAATTGAACTGTCTACTAATAAATCAATTAAAACTCCATTTATTCGGTCTTCGGGCATTTTAAAGAGCTATTCCTTTTAAATTAATTATTAAAGTCAAATAACATTAAGTTAATTGATTTACGCTTTTCTAGTAGATTTGTTTGATTTAAGTGAAATAAAGTTTAATATGGTACAGGATTTATTTTTACGTAGTTGTTTATATTAATTTAAATGTCTACGTGCAAAATTTATTCTAAAGTGTAAATTCAAAAATACAATAACATGTATTATATTATTAATATATTTTAATATTATGTGTGTTTACTACAAAAGGCTATCAGTCTCGAAACACGATCAGCTTTAATTCAATCTAAATGCATTATTTCTCTTTTCATTCGAATCTACTACCACTTGGAAAAATGTATGATATTTATCTTTCAAGTTTAATTATGTTATATATATTTTCTACTTTTCAAATATACAGAACGTACATAATGTTGTCATATTAGTTTAAATGTATATTCATCTAGTATCCTATGACATTAATCGCTGTTCTACCTTAGAGCTCTCCATTCATAATATTTGCTGAAAATACATATTAAACTCAAAAAGGCCATCTTGCGCGAACATTATAAAATCTGAATGCTTTCATAATTTTTTATTACTAATATTTTTATTTTATATAAATATCTTAACATAAAAGTTTAGATGAATAGGAATAGATTATATGCTTTGCTATAAGCAAATGAAGTAATATCTCTGTTTAGTTTTAACAGAGGAAAATCAAAATTGCACGTTCAAGTTTCAAGCAATTGAAGTGCTATTCAGAGGAATCTGCTATAATGAACTTGAAGGGACTGAAAATTTAGTCTCTACATTCGATTCGATAAGAAAAAAAAATCTCATTGGGCCAGCACATAAAATTTTGCTAATTCAATGTTTAGACGTGGAATAGGCGGAATTTAGAAACGACCTTTATGTTAACTATTTCGTCTGGTTGATCAGTTGTTAATAACCTTGCTCGTATGTCAAATTGCTCGTATCTCAAAGCAATTTTCCTCATTGAAATGAATTGAAATGCCATTAATCCGTTCCAGCTCCCAAAACGCCACCTCAGCTGTTTTTGTTGTTTTTGAATAAGAAAAATGCATTTACAAGAAGAAACATTTATTTATAAATAACAAACACATATTATATAAAAATATAATTAAAAGAAAAAGTGAAGTGCTTACGGAAGAGCTTAATTTTCGTCGCTGATCTTCGTTTTTTTCTTGACGCTTTTCTCATTTTCACTTGCAGATCGTTTAAAAAAACTGTCCAAGAAGGTATGTTTCTTCCTCCCTTTCAGGATATTGCGGAAATGAGTTAGGCAAGTTTCGTTGAACAATTTTGATGCACGACCAGTTGCAACTTTTTCGGTGTGATTTTTATCCACGAACTCTACAACTTTCTCCCACATTCCCAAGATCTCTTTTATATCTCTTGTAGAGATAACTCCTCCATCTTTAACACCTCTTCAAAACTATTTTTTCATTGAACCACCGTATGCTGCTGCGAATGTAAATCGTGTAACTCCTCGGTTGTCAGCTTCTGAGACTGTTCCTCGACGAGTTCATTCACATCTCTCTCATCCACCTCCAGACCCATGGATTTTCCCAGAGAAACAATCTCCTCTACCACTGACACTTCGGGTTCCAATCCTTCGAAGGCCCTTTCAGCTACAGCCTCAGGCCACAGCTTCTTCCATGCAGAGGTTAAGGTCCTCGTTGTAACACCCAGCCAGGTCTGATCAATAATTCTTAGACATATCACAATGTTAAAGTGGTCCTTCCAGAACTCTCGAAGGGTAAGGTTTGTGTTCTCCGCAGGAGCGCCGAAAAATGTGCTTGGTGTACAACTTCTTAAAATTAGAGATCATCTGCTGATCCATGAGCTGCAGGATAGAAATGGTGTTGAGTGGTAGGTAGAGAACATTTATAAACTCTTCGAGTAAATCAACTTCGAGATTTATTAGGTGAGCAGGGGCATTGCCAAGGACGAGAAGGGCTTGCATGGGTAGGTTGTTTTCCTGTACATATTTTTTTTTTAACAGAAGGACCAAACACCAGGTTTATCCACTCCACAAAGAATTTCCTGGTGACCCACGCCTTCGGATTCGCCCTCCACATAACTGGCGGTTTTTCTTTTAAAATCTTATGTGACTTTAAGGCTCTGGGATTTTCCGAATGGTATACTAGCAGAGGCTTGATTTTGCAGTCGCCATTCGTATTGGCGCAAAGTGCTATAGCTAATCTATCCTTCATGGTTTTGTGACCTGGCATCGTCTTCTCCTCTGCCTATTCGGTCTGCCTATAAGTCCTATCCGGCATCCTTTTCCAGAAAAGCCCTGTCTCGTCAGAGTTGAAGACTTGCTGGGGGATGTATACTTCGGCTTCTATCAGTTCGGAAAACGTTTTGATGTAAACCTCAGCTGCCTTCACATCCGATTTCGCTGCCTCATCATGCCTAACGACAGAATGAATACCGGTCATTTTCCTAAAGTTGTCAAACCGGCCCCGACTGGCTTTAAACGAGTCTTCCGATTCCTCGTTTGCGGAAGTGTGATTTACGGTGATCTGCTTCAGCAAATCACCGTAAATCGCTCATGCCTTCTCACATATGATGCTTTGTGTTAAGGTTCCTCCTTGAAGCTGCTTCTCTGTCACTCACACCATCAGTAGTTTCTCCATCTTTTCTTGGAGAGAGGTCCGGAGCTTAGAAATTATTGTAACGCCCTTAGCTGGCGTTATACCTTTTATCAACTCCTTCTGTTTAAGCACAGTACATATCATTGATGTGCTACGCCTGTACATCCTCGTTAAGTCAATTACTCGCATACCATGCTCATGTTTTTCTATGATTTCACGCTTTAATTCAATAGACATTATCTTCTTCTTCGGACCCATGGTTATAAAAATTAATGTGATAAGGTTTCGTAAATGTACCAAAAGCAAAAAAAGCGAACCCAACTTATCAAAAATGCTTCGAAAACGAGGGAAACAACCAACACCATGGACCTTATAAGAAATAGACTAACCCAGTGGGCAGGGCGTGCGTCACCGACATGTCGGCAAGAAAGAGTAGGGACGATTTGGTTTACTTTAACACTGAAACCTATGGCGTTTGTATCACATAACTCTTTTTTACTATTAAATGTGATGCGTTGTATAATGATGAGATTACGAAAGCCACAATTTTTTCCAAATAGGATTTAATATATCTCATTAAAGCACTTTTTACTGCATTTCGCGCATTTTTTTCACGCATAATTCTTGTACAAACAT